AGATACACAGTGTAGCACTTAACTAATGAGGAAATAATGTAGCAAAAACTTCAATAGCATGTAGACGGCACGGAACGAGCAGAAAAGGCTTTATTGATATAATGTGGTTGTGTCTTGCCAACAACAACAGCACAGCAAAGTGCTTTAGTAAAGGATACGAACACTCTCAGAATAGTGCAATAACAATAAAAATTTCAAAACTGTAGAAAAACGTGAAAATCACTACATTTTAGATTAAAAACTCAAATAATTTCCCTAAATGTAACTGTTACGTTGCACCGTCTGTAGCTACTCGACACCAGATTATCTAACAGTTCTTGGGCTAAGAGTTCCTATTTTTCAAGGAACGTGGGTTTCAGTTGCCTGGTGTCTTTAAACGGTAAATCATTCCACCAGGCGTCTCTCTAAAGCAGGGTTTCTTAAACTGTGGGTCGCGACTCCCAAAAACGTCGCGGGGCCTGCAGCAGGAGTTCGCCAAAAATTTTAGATGTTTTGATATTTCTTGAACTTATTATAATTTTTTTACAATTACCAAATACTTTTACACAATGTATCTGAAAATAGATAAAGATAAAACAATACAGACAAAGAAAAAAACGAAAATGTTTCGACGCATTCTTCTTATAATATAAAAGTTCATTTTCCTTGCTTTGCACGTGACACTGTCATTTCGTATATTACTTTATCAGTCCAAAGGGGCTTTGTCACTGAAGGAATATTGTTTTCGTTTTGCGATTTTGCGTTGAATCACTATAAAAGTCCGTTTCACTTTTCAAACCGTTGCCACCAAATTTTAGAGTCCTGCATTAAATTTGAAGAAATTAAATAATGAAAAATATGCATAAATGTACGTATATTTCTAGCATTGTGATAAAGCAATGGTACATAGAGCCATCGAATTTTGAATGACATAATCCTCCTACGAATAAGGGCATGTGGAAGACCAAATTTGGAATTTATTTTATTATCGATTTCATATTTTCTAAAACTTTAACGAATTTTTGAGTAAAAAACTCAACGATTTAAAAGCAAACAATAGCAATACTCTACGGGGAATAAAAGACCTTTTTATCTCCAGCGCGCGGAATTGTGTATCGGAAATTCTTAACATATGCTCATTTTAAAATTATTTTGCGACATTGCTATTGGACTGAATTTTATGGTTTAAGTGCAAAGAACATGATATTTAATAAATAAAGGTAACGCACAAAACGTTAAAAAAACGCTCCTTTGGACGTAACTTAAAATCTGAAACCTTTGAGATTTTTTTAATTTAACGAATTATAAATTTATTGAATGTATAATTTTTTTTAAATTATCACATTTGTTCTATGTCTTAAAATTAGAAATTAAAGTTAATGACTTAAAACTGCACTAGTATATTACAGTACAAGTGAAAAATAATCACAGTTTCACCATACGCGCTCAATGGTATTCAAATCAGCGGAGCCCACTAGCCATTCATTATAGCATATCTTCACTTCCGAGGTTTGGTTTATGTGATTACGGCAAAACCTCGAGGGCTATCTGTCTCACGACAGGGATGCCTTTGTGGAGGACATTCTAGAACTTTAAGGGAGACTGGCTCGTATACACGTTACAAATGGGGAAAACGCTCCCGAGCACGCCCCTTAACCCCAACGGTCTTTTTCTCTGATATTAATAGGATGAAAGCATGTCCCTACCTCTATACACACCAAATGATTCCATGAATCGTTTATCAAACTAAAACGACTCTCGTCGGTTAGTCATGTAAAATCTCAGATCAATTTATACATTATGAATAAATTTAATAAGAAAATTATTTACATAATTTACATGAAGGAGCAGTATTATGGTCTCTTTACATCATTTTGGAGACCCGAAAGTAGAAAGAAGTGTAAGTGTGGGGCATCTCTTAAGCCTTTTGTGCTTGTTGAAGAATTTGTGATGTTGGATATCGGGAATCTGCAGCAAGCATAAAATTTAATAGATTATTTATAAATATCACAGCTGCATTTCTTTTCAAACTGCCGTTATAGTTAATAATCTCATTTCAGCAAATTTTAACACTAGCGAAAGCCTATTCAGTAAATACGAAGACTATGCAGAGAGCATTGGATACTTTGAACCAGGAAACATGAAACTCAACTGCCCACTCTCCATTATTCGGACCCCTATCTTTCAGCTGCCTGTCTGTTCTAACCGCTCAGACCATTATAACATGCACGGATAAATGAAATATTTCTTGTAAATATAGTGAAGAATCTTTATTATCTTGACAACTAGTATTTCCACGATATTAAACTGGTGGACCCAGTTCAAAAATAAAGAAACGAACTTGAAATTTAAGCCATTTCGCGAAATTATTTACGAAATACTTGAGAAAAAAATTCAATAGATTTCGAGGGCAAACAGATCCCTCTTCATCAGAAGGAGAGAAATTTGCAAGATTGGAAATATTTGCTGGTATGGCTAGTGTCATCACGAAATATTATGGCGCTCATACCAGCACTTCAAATACCCTCGTTAAGGGGGAAAACGCATGTAAAACCACAAACAGTACCGCTTATGCGTGAAATGCAAAAGAAAAATATGTTCGACAGGCCTTAGCCTCTGAAAGATAGTTCAAGAAATATGAATATGCGTAATATGAAAATAAGTAAAGGGTCAAAGAAAACAGCGTAACGGTCCTATTTATACATTACCTGCAGTAAAGAGAACAGGAATATAATGGCATTTGCCGGAAAAATCAGTTACGAAAATTGAAAAATTAAGTTAACAGAGTTTTGAAAGATTAGGAAGGTCTGGAATGGACTCAAAGTCATTAACTAAAAAAACTAAATCTTTGTGAATGTGAAAAGCTTCAAGAAATATTATACACTTAAAATAAATTTGATTGTAATATGATAATATAAGCATAAAGATTCACTACTTATAATCGCTTCGAAAACAACAAAATTTATATTTTCAGTCTTCTAAAGAGAGTTCTTTAAATTAATGTAATCAGTAAACTGTAGAAGAACTAATAGATTATATATAACAGCATAATATATATAATAGCATTCGATTAAATTTCTCAAACTGTAATATATAATAGCATTCGATATATTCATATATAATAACATTCGATTAAATAATAGCATCGATAAATTTCGGTTAAATGTAATATATAACAAATGTAATATAATAGCATTTGATATATTCATATGTAATAGCATTCGATTAAATTTCTCAAACTGTAATATATAATAGCATATATATTCGATTATATATAATAGCATTCGATTAAATTTCTTAAACTGTAATATATAACAGCATTCGATTATATATAATAGCTTTTGATATATTCATATATAATAGCATTCGATTAAATTTCTCAAACTGTGACATGTAATAGCTTTGGATTATATTTTTGCGTGCGCACGGGTTCGTTATGAAATGAATGCGCAAGTCCGATGAAAAATTAATAATATTTATTATTATCATAAATAAATAAAACAAAATGCTTAAATTTCCTCAGATATTCCTACAATACTGTAATATCTCACAGTAGATTCACTTTTAACTACTCAAACTTTCAACAGAACTTAATTCAAAACAGCTAGAGAAAGTTAATCCGCGAATTCGCTACAGTCAACAAGAGCAGTTTTCTAAACAAACTCTTAAAACAACAACTATTTAAATTCAGAGGTTTTTCTCCTTTTTATAAGCTTTTTAAAACACGCGCGAGATTGTTCTAGCAATTTCTCGAAATCAGAAAGTGATATTTATTTAGTAAATGTTAAATGCACATGTTCTTTCATTTTTAATTTTCCAGGGTAGCTTTCTTTTAATATTCGTCACGCGCTGCACTGCACGGGGAATCAAACAATTTTATTTATAATTCTACTAACATTAACTATTTAAATACCAAATCCGTAACAATATACAATAGCATTCGATTAAATTTCTCAAACAGTAATCACGAGTTTCAACTTTAAAAACATGTATAAGCGTTTTCCTTACTAGGCTTCCCAATTTCTGCCTTTTCGTTATTTGTTACTTAAATTTACTTAATGTTATCTACCAAAACATAACTGTAACTGGAAAGCAGTGATTCTTATGGATATTGTAAACCTTGAAGGAAGGGAAGTTTATGAACCATTTTACTTTTCCTGGTAGAGTGTGAATTTTTTAATTACTCATCACAACGTTCGTTAATGATTTCTGATACATCCGTATAATAAAACTGTAGCGACACTGGGTTATTTTGATGGCTGGAGACGTGAAAAATGTACAGTGCCATCGCAGGAACTCGAACCTGGACCTCTCGCATACGCGCCAACTGTGTTAACCGTTACATCACGAAGGCATGCAGAAAGGAGGAAGAACATACCTTATACACTCCCCTTTTAAACGGCGACTGGGGATTGGCTATTAACCACCGTCTGTTTAGTTCGAGCGTCACTGTAGAGGATTTTTGAAGTAGGAAACACGGGTTTTGGTTTGGTTTGGCTTATTTAATTAATACAAAGCACACTAGGGCTATCTGCCTAAGGAAAGAGATGCCTTCGTGGAGGAATTTCTAAGGGAAACTGGCTCGTATACACGTTACACATAGGGAAAACGCCCATGCAGCCAGCCCGCTCGCGGGATTCGAACCTCGGGCCTAACTACCAGTGTTCAGTGACTTTACCGCTCGGCCGCTGGTGGGCTGTAGGAAACACGGGAGACGTGAAAGGTGTCCAGTGCCCTCGAATGGACTCGAACGTGGACCTCTCGAGTACGCGCTGAGTTACACCACGAAGGCGTGCAGAAAGGAGGGAGAAAATACCTTATAAAATATATACATAAAAGAGCTGAAAATTTATTTTTGTAAATGACAGCAAAAGAAATGTTTACTAGGTTTCATGAGGAAGTAACAAAGATTGAGTAGAATAATTTTTCTTAATTACTTTAATTAGTTGCTTGTAGTTTGCTTTCACGAAAGATTTCTAACTATTTAGAAAATTAGGTTATATGTCTTTTTATCTTTGCAGCCAATTAAAAGAGAGCGTGTTGTGCGTCGATGAACATATGAAGCATTGTTTCACCGCCACGCAAAGGAAAGTCTTCAACCATGTCGTAGCCGGAGCCAGACAGTTTCTTCTTGAACTTTGTGTAAGAGGACCCATCCAAGAATGTAATTTCTTTCTCGGATTAGTATTTTCTTTAAAAACCAAAGTTTAACATCAAATTCTATAATGTAGGTTGAAGCTTACTTCTGTTTAATGTACCGAAGGTACTCAAAAGTGTCTTTATCATATTCATCATGTTTAGGAAAACAGTATATGGGAATATTATCTACACTCTTGTCCATAAATTAAGGATAATTCAGAATCAGACGGAAATCGTACTTTAAAGTAAACATTTCACCTGTTGAATTATCTTTTAAGAAGAATATGGAAATTACAGGAAGCCATCAGATGACGCCTACGGTACGGCACAATGACCAGAGTATGAAAGAAGTGTATATAAGTAGTCGTAGCAAAAACGAAAAATTGTTCACAAGCGTTCTGTAAGCCGCTCAATGCCACAACCGAATCGTTATGACACAGAGGACGCATGTGAATGATTTTTATTTTTATTTATTTATTATTATTATTATTATTGTGATTGAATTATCTTCCGCCTGGAATGTAGGCGTACTCAAATGGAAGTATCCTAGAAACTTGAAATAGCCCAAAGTGTCATCTCTAGGCTTTGGCAACGATTTCAAAATAATGGAAATGTCAGGAATCGTTACAATACAAGTCGTCCCCGAAGTACAAAGCCGAAGACAACCGGCATTTGGCAGTAACTACCAAAAGAAGCAAGGGATAGGATATGCTAACAAATTTAAAATAACGTATCTGAAAATATTACTAACTATGGCAAAATTTATTACACAACTTATTTCATAGTCACTTCAGGAAGCAAAGGCCTAAAAATCTGTATTTGCAGTCTTCTAAAGCGAGTTCTTCTAATTAATCTAATAATTAAATTGTAGAACACGTGATTAAGTGGGAATGGTACTCAACTGTTCCTGGAAAAGGTCAGAAATCATTCCTGCTCTTACTTTTGCGAGTGATGGGAAAGGCCGCTAATCTAAGGAAATTTGATAGAGAACAGATTGTAGTGGCCAGAAGACTCGGAACGAATATCTTCGAAACTACACAACTGGTAGGTAGTTCACAATCTGCTGTCTTTAGCATTTATGCAAAGTGGATAAATGACGGTGAAACCAGCAGTAGGCAGCAAGGTTTTAGACGTCCAGGCGTCAGCAAAGAAAAACGATATCGGAGAGTATCCCGCTTGGCACAGCAAAACCGGTGGCTCAGCTAACAGCCCATTACATTCAGGTTCAAGTGTAAGTGTTTTGGAACACATTTGGTTCAAGTTCAGAGGACACTGTTGGATGTAGGCCTGTACAGCAGACGTCCCACTCGTGTGCCGCTGATGACCAAACGTCATTGTCAACTACGCCTACAGTGGGCATCGCGACTGGACAGTGGATAAGTGGAAGATAGCTACCTGGTTGGATGAATCACCATCACGTGAACGGTCGTCTCAGGGTACGATGTCTTCGTGATGAACATTTACTCCCCACTGTTCCGCAGGTCATACACAGGCTGGTGTTGTCGGTATTGTTTTGGGGGACGTCCTCATGGGCTGCTCTGAGATATTTAGTTTTGGCAAAACAGCTCTGAGAGGCCCGGTGGCGCAGTGGCTAGCGCATCGCGCAGCAGCACCACAGGGCCGGGGTTCGATTCCTGGGCTGTACAAAGTCGACTCAGCCTTTCATTTCTTGATTTCCATCACTTGGGGACTAAACACTGGGGATCCTGCGACAAGCTGACTACTTGTTCAGGGCATATGCTTACGCAGCCCGGGGCCCACGGTCAAGATAGCAGATTTCGGGCACTGAAGGCCTATTAAGGCTGTTACGCCACTGAATTTAGTTTAGTTTTTTAGAACAGCTCTTGAAAGTTGCGAACTATCTGAAGATAACTGCGGGTCAGATGCACTCTTACATGCATCATTAGGAGAGTTGAAAAATTCCACCACATTGCATAACACGATGTTCCTATATCATATTTATAATGCGGGGCATTTGTTAAATACTACCTTTGTTCGAAATGTAAGATATCCAGTTTTTTCGTTACTCAGTCTGATATATTACAAGTTGTAAAAGTATTTTCACTCTAAAATCTTAAGATCTCTTACAAATTATAACTACTTAACAAACTAAACAGTTTTACAGCGCCAAACGCATTTTAAAAAGGATGTTTTTATATTTTTTTTTAAATTTTATGTTCAAATTTTCATACCTTTAACTATACTGAATTAATAATACACCGTTTTGATTGTTTTATGAATACCTGTAACATTAATACGGTTAATAACAGCTATTTCTGTTGCTATAATATTATTAAGGTTAATATTAGCTACTTCTGTTGCTATACAGAAACTATGGTCAGTAACTGAGGTTAGCATATGGTAAGTACTAATGAAGTGCAGCAACATGCGGTTCTTTATTAACATATTTCACCTTTACAGCTATGTATGTCCTGCCTATACTAACGAACGAACAATTCATTTTACTCGAATTGACGTAATTAAACAGCAATACATCCCAATGCTCATGCCTTCACACTGACCTCATCGATATAATGACTATAGACACTGGCTGTCACATCATGGGGCCCGAGTTCGAACTAAAGAAATCAGCATGGATATTTATTTACTTAGAAGTTAAAACAACAAAAATTATCGTAATATTTGCAAATTTTCACAGGTCTAGTCTCTATGTATTAATTCAGAAGTCAAACAACGTTCCCTCATGATACACAGACGCTATACACTCACAAACAAATATCCATGCTAATTAAGGTAAAGTAACACGCCGAATAAATATTAATTAAGAAGTCAAACAACAAAAATCAGCGTTATATTTTCAAATTTTCACAGGACTAGTTTCGATGGTTTTACCGAACCAGCAACCTCAGCTACCAAAGTTCAAATGAAAGGCAGCTGAGGATGATGGTTCGGTAAAACCATCGAAACTAGTCCTGTGAAAATTTGAAAATATAACGCTGATTTTTGTTGTTTGACTTCTTAATTAATATTTATTCGGCGTGTTACTTTACCTTAATTAGCATGGATATTTGTTTGTGAGTGTATAGCGTCTGTGTATCATGAGGGAACGTAAAATATTAGAGAGTGAAAAGTACTTTCGAATGGTCTAATGTGTAGGGAAGAAGGGAGAAAGACCTGTAGATCCATCTCCAAATGTGTGCTTCATCGAAACGAGAGCGGAAATGAGCCGTTTGTGTGGTGGGATTTTGCCTATGAAACCATTTCATCTTCTGGTTCCTGCTCACTTCTTTCACTTCTGTCTTTTCTTTTAAACAATAGAAGTTTCATCTTGTTTCAATATTTGTTCACCACGAATTGAATTTGGGATTTCTTGATTTGCGGATTTTTGCATGCGAATGCACCATAGGAGGAGGTACCACTTTTTACTACTATCTACTCCTGACATGCGATTCAAAACATACCTTAGAGTACCTGTGCTAACAAGCTTTTAATTCAAGGCCACATTTTACTTAATTAAATGAATAACTTTTGCCCAAAGGGTCGTTAGCCCAAAAGGGCTATTAGTCTTGAAACGGCATTTCGTGTCCAATTTACTTTAAATGTCTGAATTACTTTTCAAACTGTAACCACCAAATACTATCGCCCTGTATTATATTTAAGGAAATTAAATAATGAAGAATGAGTGTATGTATGTAATGAAACTGTGGTTTGAAGGTGGCAGAGGGGAAAGCATGATGACGCAATTTAGCACAACATATCTTGAAAAATCACAATCTTTATTTTTTCATCCATATCAAATAATCCTTTTTCAGATAAGATACTTCTTAATAATATTTGAATAGAATAACTCCCATTTTGAAGAATGACGTCATCTTATGCAAGTAAGCGGCAGCAGCATGGATCAAAAGCGTCTTACCAGCAGGAGAGCTAACGCGGAAAAGGGGAAAGGTTAGAGTACTTTCATAGCAAGAAGGCTGAAGTTTCAGTTCAAAGTTTTGGTTTAGAATTAATTTGATTGGACGAGAGACATCTGCATTAAAACATTACATAAGATAGAAAAGTGTGAAGAAGAGATGAATTTAGGGGCAGATTACCAAATTTAGAATGTTAATCTTGAGGTCGTCAATTATTTTTTTGAAACAGCTATCATATTTTGTTATATCTTACATGTATGTATGCATCAATGCATGTATGTTTCTCGTACTGTTAAAAAACGACACCTAGAGCCATTCAATTCTGAGTAACGTAGTCCTCCACCCGAATATGGGCACCCGGACGCCCGAATTTTTAATCTATTTCATAGTCTATTTCATATTTTTTAGAATTTTTTATTGAGAAACTTAATGATTTCAAAGTGAACAGTGGCAATACACAGTGCGGAGCAAAATACTTTTATCTACAGCGCGTGACACTGTTCATAGGAAATTCTAAAGATAAGCTGTCTTTAAATATTTTTAACCCAAAGGGGTGGTACCGCATAGGCTCTCGAAGCATGTATATATGTGTAAACGAAAATGAAACGCTCCTTTAAGCGTAATATAGGAATCTAAAAAAAGTTCAAACTTCTTTTTGCTAATTCCCGCGAACGGGCTAGCTGCATGGGCGTTTTCGTGGTTTTCCCCATGTGTAACGTGTATACGAACCAGTTTTCCTTAGAAAGTCCTCCACGAAGGCATCCCTCCCCTTAGGCAGATAGCCCTAGTGTGCTTTGTCGTAATCTAATAAATCAAACCAATCTTTTTGCTAAATTATAATAACTATTGCTAAATAAATGGCATCAACGGATATTTACTTAGCTATGAAACTGATGAAGCTATTATATTTAGGTATGATTATAATGCTATGAAAGTTTACACTCCACTGTAATTATTATTTGATTGTTAATCGAATTTTTGACTGTATTAGAATAAAACATTCCATCCATCTTTGACCCGTTCATGTATGTACTGTAGTTAAAATTTAAGTAGAAACATCTACAGTATCTTATTGGAAGTATTAAACCAAGAGTTAAAATGCTGGTCTTACACAATTGTATTACGACAAATGCCAAAGTAACATAGGTGG